CTCTAAGAACTGCCAACTCATAAATAGCACATCTTTATATTTGTATTATTTCATGGGAATCTCAGACAGCTTTGTCAAGTCTGTAAGGAAACAAGGAAATAGAATGGAGCTGATTTCTCAAGATTCATCTCATGGCATCAGTTAGACCCTCTGACTCATGTGTTGTGTCAACTAGACCCTGCAGGTACCAGACATGAGTTTCTTTCTGGGACTGTTGAGCAAGGTTTGAGCAGGTCAGCTAATTTTAATCCAAAATGTTTGGCAAAGAGCCAAGCCAAGGCCTGGGATGGACGGACTCTAGAACTTTCAGGCAGTGGGGTGGAGCTGCTGGTCATTAGAGAACTGGCCATTCCCTGGAAGTTGAGGTACCTGTTGGCTAATTCTGTAATCAGAAGATGGGCTTGTCTGTCCACCCTGGATGCTGTGGCCAGTCCCCATCTAGAGATAATAATTTGTGGGTGCCCCCAGCAAACCCTCAGTGTGACTGCTGGCTCTTGCCAACATCACAGCCGAGAAGAGTAGTCACGTAATCCACTTTTAACTCTCCTGCCTTCAAAGGTGGAGTAATATTTTGCAAGATGAAGCTAATGTAATATTCTGGATTAGTACTGGTAGGACACGTTTATGTTTCTTTTTTTTACCTAAACCTTTTGAAAAGATGCCAAAAGCCTGGAGTTCTATAGATTAATAGTTTTGTTTCCTCTGCTTTTATGTTTAAATAGATGATATATTTTTTTGAGTTTGGAAAACAAATATATTTTACCTGAGAATTTTAGAGGATCTCTGATTCTTATTTCCTGCAGTTATAGCATATTTCTTTTTAATGGTGTACACTGACTGAAAGATCATGTCATTACAGTAGCACCAGACACGGCAGGACTCTGCATGCTTTGGGAGGGCCCAGCATATCCACAGTGCCCGTATAAAGCCACTGTTACTCTTCCAGGCTAAAGATGGAAATGATGAATAAATGATTGAAAATGAAATCAGAAGGAAATGACTTTTGCCAAATAGCAAACTAGTCCAGGAATTCTGCAGGTTTCTTTTCAGGCTGTCTCCACTGTTCTGTTTTTCTTATAAGTCATCAAAATGTTGCCGAAATCCCGGCACTTAGCTGTGTAAACTTTGTTTCCCAAAGCTACCACATAATGGTGTAGGTGATCCTGGGTTACATCTGTGCCCTGGACCTGAGAGTCTAGTCTTTAAAGATGGGCATGAGATAATACTCCATCCTGACTCACATTGTTGAGGGGGTCAGTGATCCAGGGGAGACAAGAGTGCCTTTCACTGTAAAGTGTAACACAAACATTAGCAGTTAACCAGTTGTGCTCAAATCAACTCCGACTCATGGTGGTTCTCTGGGTGTCAGAGGAGAACTGTGCTCCACAGGGTTTCCAATGGGTGACTTTTTGTGGAAGTAGATCACTGGGCCTTTCTTCTGAGTCACCTCTGGGAAGACTCAACCCTCCAAACTTTTGGTTAGAAGCTGAGCGTCTGAACTACTTGCCCCACCCAGTTAGTCCAGAAGTAAAAGAACCACACAGAAGAATGAAGTCCTGATCCATACGACAACATGGATGAACCTCCAAAGCATGATGCTGAGTGCAAGAGCCAGACACCAAAGGTCCCAGATTATATGACTCCATTTATATGAAATGTGCAGAATAGACAAGTCCATGGAGACAGGAAGCAGATTAGTGGTTGCCAGCGACGGGGAGGAGGCACAGTGGGGCGTGGATCTGCAGTTTCCCTTGGGGGGATGAAAATATTTTGGAGCCAGAAAGAGGTGATGATTGCATAGCACTGAATATTCTAAATGTCACTAAACTGTACATGACTCAAATGATTTACTTTATGTTATTGGAGTTTCATCTCAATTGAAAAATGAAGAAGCTTAATAGCATTATACAGGTGTCAAAAAAAAAAGGGAGAGTCTCCTAAAGTCCATAAACAGTGCATTTTTCAGTAAGTATTTTTAAGAAAGTTCATAGTGTGGACCATTGCCCCAGGCTGCCTTTGTTGTCTGACTCCATCCCACAATGACAGTAAGCTGTTCAACTGGTTGCTCTCCTTGGACTTCTAACCACCTAAACTATGAGAAAATAAACTCCTGTTCTTTAAAACCACTCATTTGTGGTTTTCTGTTATAGGAATATTAAGGCATGCAGGGCGATAAATATATATGTAACAAAACGTTTGATGTTTCAATGGTCTTGACGTACATCCCAGTGACATTAATTATACTCATCATGTTACTCAGCCATTACCCTTATCCATTCCCCAATTTTTTGTCTTCTTTAACAGAAAATCAGTGCCACCTAAGCATTGAGTCTTTCTTTCCATCCTGCCCATCCCTGGTAACCACTAACATACTTTGGTCTGTCTACATCTGTCTGTTCTAGACATTTCATATACATGGTATGACACAGCATATGTCCTTATTTTGCTTGGCATAATGTTTTCAAGCTCATCCATGTTGTAGCATGGATTGGGACTTCATTTCTCTGTATGGCTGAGTAATATTCCAGTGTCTATATGTACCACATTTTGTTTGTCCATTCATGAGCTGATGGACATTTAGACTGTTTCCACCTCTTGGCTATTGTGAATGGTGCCGCAGTGAACATTGGTGCACGAGTACCCATTTGTGTTCCTAATTTCAGTTCTTTGGGGGTATATAGCTATGAGTGGAATTGCTGGGTCGTATGCTAATTCTCTATTTAAGTTTTTGAGGAGCCGCCAAACTGTTTTCCACAGTGGCTGTACCCTTTTACAATCCTACCAGGAGTGGACGAGGGCTCCACTTTCTCCACATCATTGCCAATGCCCATGGTTTCCCGTTGTTGTTGTTGGGTGCTCTTGAGTTGATTCCAAGTCATGGTCACCCCATGTGATACAGTAGCCCTTCTCCATAGGGTTGTCTAGGTTGTAATCTTTACAGGGGCAGATCACTAGGTCTTTCTCCTGCAGAACTGTGGGGTGGATTTGAACTGCTAACCTTTAACAGTCAGCCGCCAGGTCTTTGTTTGCCATTAGTTAAGCCTCTTTTATCCAGCAGTCATGGACTTTCTGCCTTTTCTCTAGGACTGTCTTAAGCCATGGCCTCATGAGTGGCCAGGCCAAAATGGACTGATGGCCCAAGCAATGGGATTTCCCTATGGCAGCCCTTGCCGTTGCTACTTCCTCCTCTTCAACACCTTGACCTGCTGGGCTTCTAGGTGCCTTGAAATCAAATGAATCCCGTCCCTGAGGCTTTCCCTTGGCAGGGCAGCGTCCCCTCTCTGCTGATCACCTGTGTTAGTCTGCTATACTCCTCTGCCCTGCAGTATTGTTCACATCGTTGCGTGTGTGCACATACAAGGGGTGAGAAGTTTGTCCGGAACCTCTCACCTGGTAAACTGTGGATCTGAGCTTTAAATCTCAGCCTCCCCTGCCTCAAAGATTGTGTCCTGAACAAATGCCCAGTAACTTCCTTCCTATTGGTTTCTGTCCGCCTCATCTTCACCTCCTCCCTACGCCCTCCTGGTACACTGCCTCTGTGCATAACAGGTTCCCAGTCAATGTGTCTAGAATGTAAAGCACTGGATCTTTACCAGGAGGTTAAAGTGGCATCGCTAGTGAAGTAAAGGGTGTGGGTCACACCTCTGACACTGTCAAAGGGGGTGACACCAAAAGACTCCAGGCTCCACAGGTATGGTAGTGCCATAGGGGAGGGACCGCCAAGGCAGTGGCATCACTAGGGTTGGTGTCACTCATTACCCAATGCAGTAGCTCACCACCCACCGATGAGGGTGAGGTGAGCAGACCAAGTGTTCACTACTGGGCAGAGAGGAGAAGCTGACTGCTATTGGGCAGGGAAGAGGAGCTCACCTTGGCCAATGGGAGAGGGAAGGTCTCTGCCTTGGCCAATGGGAGAAGGGAGGAGCAGCAGGGCAGCCTTCAGGGGTGGGGCCAAAAGGGGTGGAGCCACTTGGCCCAGCCTTGGCACTGTGCTGGGACAGTGTGGATCAGCTGCTTGACTTACAGGGGTGGTTCACAGGCTGACTCCACAGCAGTGAGTTTGGAGATATATATATATATATGTATATGTATACATATACATACACACACACACACACACACACACACACACACACACATATATATATATATATATATAAATATTTGGGAGTTGTCTTTATATATATATTTATATTAAATCTTTGGAAGTTATCTTTGGAAGGAAAATAATCATGCTTTAGGCTATAATTTATATAGAATAATTTTTACATCTTTGGCATTTGCTAGAAGCAAACAGCCTGTGTGAAATCAAATATTGAGAGATTTGGAAAAAGAACCAGTCTAGGAGAGAAGTTTAATAAGTGTTGTTTTTCTGATATAGCATCCTTTTGACTGCTATCATTAAATTCTATGGTTGACTGATTGATTGAAAATACAGTTTGAGTGACTTTCTTTGTGAAATTAAAGAAATGCCAATTTATGTAAAAGATCCTGATTAGTAATTCTATTTTGAGTTAAAAAGGAGGTGTGTGGAGAGGGACAGTAGTTTTCTGGAAATTAGATTTAAAAAAAGAAAAATCCAACTCTATTTAAAGAATTTAAATGCATTTGGCCATTGGGCAGCTTTTTAGGGAGAACAGGTTGAATTTCTGATAACAGTCTCTGTTTAGGGAGCAGAAGGGAAGCCATTTCACCTCCCAGTATGACTGTCTGAGAACTTCCACTCACTTAATCTAGCTCTGGTGCAGTGGTTAAAGCACTCAGCTGCTAACCGAAAGGTGGGCACTTTGAACCCACCAGCTGTTCTGTGGGAGAAAGACATGCCATTCTGCTTCTGTAAATATTACAGCCTTGGAAGCCCTATCAGGCAGTTCTACTCTGTCCCATAGGCTTGCTATGACTTAGAATTGATTCAGTGATAAAGGGTTATTTATTAATCAGCTAGAACAAAGAACCTGCTTTTGACCTTTCCCATTTTTTTTCCTCTCTTCCCTCTGCAGGTTACCTATCTGGGTAAAGTTTCTACCACAGGCATGCAGTTTTTGTCTGGCTGTACAGAAAAGCCAGTCATTGAGCTCTGGAAGAAGCACACACTAGCCCGAGAAGACGTCTTCCCAGCCAATGCTCTCCTGGAAATCCGCCCCTTCCAAGTGTGGCTCCATCACCTCGACCACAAAGGTGAGGCCACTGTCCACATGGATACATTTCAGGTGGCCCGTATTGCCTACTGCACAGCCGACCACACCGTGAGCCCCAACATCTTCGCCTGGGTGTACAGGGAGATTAACGATGACCTATCATACCAGATGGACTGCCACGCTGTCGAGTGTGAGAGCAAGCTCGAGGCCAAGAAGCTGGCCCATGCCATGATGGAGGCCTTCAAGAAGACTTTCCATAGTATGAAGAGTGATGGCCGGATCCACAGGAACAGCTCCTCCAAAGAGGTGTCCCAGGAATTGGAATCTGATGATGGCTGAATGAACTTAAGGTGCTTCAGTGGAGGCAGCATTGGTCAAGGAATTCAAGATGATAGATGAGTAATCAATCAATGATTCAAATTTGTGATGAAAAGACTGCCAAACCCTTGGCTGACGCTTTTTAAATACAGAAGAGCAATTCTAAATCTAAAGAAATGTATCATTAATTACGTTGCATTGAAACCTGCTGCTGCTGTGACTGTGAGGAGGGTGGGCTTGTGGATGGGGAGGAAGGTTCTAGATGCTCTTCTTCTTTTTTTCCTTATTTCCCAGTGTCTCCTTGTGGGAAATCTCCATGCCTACTTTCACCATGCTCAGGCAAATACTCTATGGCTGCCATTTGATGAATTGCTCCAATTTGCCTTATGAAACCCAGCAAGAATGTTAGATGCATCTGAGGGATCCCTCATGGGAAGGTGGAGATACTGACGCTGGTGTGGAGGCTGCAGGGCTGAAGAATGCCTCAGGATGATTCTGAGAGCTCCACTCCCATGGCATGTCTCCTCTGTATGGGAACCAGCACAGCCATTATTGATTGAGCTTTACAACTAACAACCCAATAGTTGGCAGTTAATTCACAGTTAAAGACAGTGCTTTTATTACATAAATATATCAAGTAATACCCTTTTATTGTATTCACGTCATCTATTTTCTTAGAAGACTTGCAACTACTAATTACCCCTTCCCTACTCCTGCCCTTTCTGTCCTCCTTCCCTCTCCTACCCAAGCCAACATCCCTAGAGAGACGGATTCTTCACATACACTGCAGGACACCAAAATGGAAGAAATTAACCACGCAAATGAAATAAACGATCCAACCAACCAATCATGACAACAGAAACTCTGAAGAAAGAGAATGAGTTACCAAACAGCTGGACAAACTCCACATGCTGTCCTTTTTTCAACCCTGATTTATGGTAACTTATTCCATATAATGGTCCTGGCTGATGAATCCTTCAAGACAAGCTTCAAATCTGATGTGGAATGACCAACGAGCCTTGTTCCCATCACTCAACATTGCACTCAACTGGAGAATCCATTCTTGAAACTTGGCTTGTCTGGAGAAGCCTCATGTTTCTTAATCTAAAGGGAAACCTGATCCTGTTATCTTAAATTGAGGCTATTTTAGTGTCACAGTTGCCAGTTTGTTCATGATTTCTGATGAGAAGTTCTCATTACAAAAGCCTGAGTTTCATGGCTCTTCAGATGTTCTAAGTGCAAAGAGGCAACATTGAATCCAATAAGAAGTATTTGTTAACATGCATCCAGGTAAGGCTGAGAGCAGATGGCTGGTTTTCCAGGGAATGCTGCTCCTTTCTAGAAGTGTTTTGAAGCCTGGTCATGTTGGGGGCCCTCGTGCACCTTACGGAAGCCTTAAATGAGTGCTGAAGGAATCCAGAGAGTGGTGGTGTCAGTATTTGGTCTGTGTATCTGTGTGTCCGTGTATGTGTTTGTGTGTGTGTACGTGTATCCCCTGTGTCTCCCACATGTGTGTATGTGTGGGTCCCCTGTTAAGGCATGTAGAATAAGCATGGAGTCATACTGAGGAGGACTCACCTGTTGAAGATATGCTTGTTGCTTTACAACCTATGTAAACTATTCTTTAGCATAAATGCATTCACTCTTTAATAAAAATATGTTTGAGTTAATAAAGCTGAAGAGTTTCCTACTTTCTGCGTCTTTCCTTTCTTCAGCCATGAAAGCCTGAAGAACAAAAGAGATCACATTGAGTAAATATCATAAATCTATCTCAAAAATAGTTTTAAGCTTGGTCACAAATAACTCCTTCCATAATTGTGTTTTCTGTTTTTTGCGTTTCTTTTTTTTTTTTTAATCTCCAGTTCTGTTTACTAATGCTCAATTTATTTTTAGTTTCCACCTCTTAATTAAATTGGTAACATATCAACAGCTGAAACAATTAGTTGCTGTTGTTGTTGTTATGTGCCGTCGAGTTGGACCTGACTCATAGTGACTCCTCCTTGGGTTTCTGAGGCAGTATCACTACGAAAGTAGATTGCCCCATCTTCCTTCCAAGGAGTGGCTGGTGGGTTTGAACCGCCAGCCTTTTGGTTAGCAGTCAAGTCTTCCTGCACATATTGCCATGATTGTTATTCATAAAATCTTGTGTACACCTTTGAAGAGCCTACACTGAAATCCTACAGAGTAAACACTGAGAAATTCCTTCTGACAGGCCTAGTTAAAAATGGCTCCTCTGGGCCATCATTTCTCACATAAGCCACAGTGAAGCGGCAGCCATATTGAGCATTACCGTTCTCAGAGTCGGCCACAATGATAAAGGCTCCTGAAGTCAAAATGTCGGTGACTGCTCAGGAGATGACTTCAAGGGAGAATTCCTGCCTCACCCTTCCGATTTAGATGGCATTTCTCTCAAGCTGAACTTTCCCCAAGTTCAATTTTCCTCGGTTGTCCTTCAATACACTTCTAAGAGGGAGGGGAAAAAGAGCAAGCCAACACTGGTTTCTCATGAACATAGTATCATTTTCCTCGCTGAGTAAAAGTTGGTTCCCCAAATGCACATAAGATTATTTATTTCCCAAAAGGATTTGCCTGCCTTTTCGCAGGGCCTGCAGTGTTGTCAGATTATGTGCTGAATACTTGGCTCTACTGACATTGGCAGGGCCTTTCTTCTCGGCTGACTGGGAAGCAATTTAGAGATAATACACAAGATCTTTCCATCAGTTAATGAAGTCTTTTGGGACAGCTGATCCTAATTCCCCTCAGAAGGGTGATTCAGATTGGTGTGGTTCTTTTAATGCTCTGTTCTCTCCCTTTCTCTACTAGTGGTCACACACAGCACTGTTTTGCCTGGTAACACACTCCTCAGAAGAACCCTGTAGGCAGGTATGGCAGTCACTCTGTTGTTACCTGCCCCTGACAAGTGGCCACCTGATGCACAATGGAACAAAACACTGCACCATCCCCATGAGGAGTTACCATCAGACCTTTGTGGTCCATAGGATTTTCATTGGCGGCTTTTCAGAATAGGTCTCTAGGCCTTTCTTCCTATTTAATCAGTGTGGGAGTTTCACTGGTACCTGTTCAGCATCAGAGCAACATGTGAGTCCCACTGACTGACAGGTGGTCGCCGTGCATGAGGTACCTTGGTGGAAAATCCAACCCTGGTGGTCTCATAGGTGAGAATTCCACCACTGGCCAACCACTGCATCCTGCAGTTAATGTAGGGCTGTTGTTGTTGTTAGGTGCCATCAAGTCAGTTCTGACTCACAGTGACCCCATGGAGAACAGAACGAAACACTGCCTGGTCCTGCACCATCCTCACAACCATTGCTATGTTTGAGAATATAGTTGAAGCCACTGTATCAATCCACCTTGTTGAGGGCCTTCCTCTTATTAGCTGACCCTCTACTTTACCAAGCATGATGTCCTTCTCCAGGGACTTGCCTCATCTGATAATACATCCAAAATACATGAAATGAAGTCACCCCATGCTCACTTCTTAGGAGCATTTTGACTGTACTTCTTCCAAGAAGGATTGGTTCTTTTTCCTAGCTGTTGTTGTTGTTATGTGCCGTCGAGTTGGACCACACTCATAGCGACCCCTCTTTGGGTTTCCGAGGCAGTATCACTACAATTGCCCAACCTTCCTTCTGAGGAGTGGCTGGTGGGTTTGAACCACCAGCCTTCTTGGTTAGCAGTCAAGTGCCTTAGGCACTACATATGTTCAATATTCTTTGCCAGCATCACAAATTTATCAATTTTTCTTTGACCTTACATATTCACTGTCCAGCTTTGACATGCAGGAGAGGTGACTGAAAATACTATGCCTTGGGTCAGGAACACTTTAGTCCTCAAGGTGATTTCTTTGCTTTTTAACAGTTAGAAGAGGTCATTTGCAGAAGATTTTCACAGTACAATTCATCATATGATTTCTTGCCTCCTGCATCCATAGGCACTGATTATGGATCCAACTAAAGTGAAATCCTTGACAACCTCAGTTTTTCTCCATTTATCATAATGCTTCCTGGCCCACTTCTGAGGTTTTTTTTTTTTTTTTTTTTAATGTTGAGGTGCAATCCATACTGGAAGGCCATAGTGTTTGATCTTATCAATAAATGCTTCGGGTCCTCTTCATTTTCAGCAAGCAAAGTTGTATCATCAGCATATTGCAGGTTGTTAATGAGTCTTCCTCCAGTTCTGATTCTGCATTCTTCTTATAGTCCAGTGTAGTGGTTAAGTTTGTGTGTCAACTTGGCTGGGCCTGGTTGAGTGTCTGGGCAGCTGGATGTAGTATTTCCCATGATGAGACTGGTAATCAACTCCATGGTGGAATCTACTGTGAGCAGGTGAGTAGCTGCTTTGGGTATGTGGTCTGCTTTCCGTATATAAGAAACAGCTTTGAGAATGGTCTCTAGCTTATGGCATGCTTGAACCCTGCATGTAGCTGTGTCATTGTTCAGAAGCCTGCCATGCTCTGCCGACCTTGGGACTTTCAATGAACTTGAATTAATGACCTGCTGTGTGGTTTGGTAACATTGGGATTGTGCCATTTTATTTGTTGACCTTGGGCTTGTTAGCCTCAGCAGCCAGTAGCTGCCTGAGTGAAGAAATGCCTCTAGCTCCAGTGGGCCGGGAGCAAGAGGCAGAGCTGGACCCCAAGGTTGAGGGGCTCTCACCCAGCCTCTAGAGCCTGGCACTTTGAACTTGGACTTAAAGCCTCCAAACTGTGAGAGAATAAACTCCTGTTTGTTAAGGCCATCCCATTTGTGGTATATTTTTGTCAGAGTGGCACCAGGGAACCAGAACAACCTTTTTCTTGTATTCTGTGCTTTTAGCCCAGATCCATCTTGCATCACCAATGATACCCCTTGTTCCACACCCTGATCTGAACCTGGCTTGAATTTCTGGCAGTTCCTTATTGACATGGTACTGTAAATGCTTTTGAATTATCTTCGGCATAATTTAACTTGTATGTGATAGTAGTGATACTGTTTGGTAATTTCCATATCCTATTGGGTCACCTTTCTTTGGAATAAGCATTGATGTGGATTTCTTCCAGTCAGTTGGCCAGGTAACTGTCTTTCCAAATATCTTGGTATAGATGAGTGAGCACTTCTAGTATTTCATCTGTTTGTTAAAACATCTCAGTTGGTAGTCTGTCAATTCCAGGAGCCTTGTTTTTCACCAATGCCTTCAATGCAACTTGAATTTCTTCCTTCAGTACCATCGGTTCTCGATCGTATGGTACTTCCTGAAATGGTTGAACACTGACCAAT